GAGAGAGAGAGAGAGAGAGAGACAGCACCGAAGTAGACTAGCAAGTAAGTAAGTAAGAGAATACCTTGAAGTAATGCCGACTGTAGACCACGTCTTGAGCCCCCAATTTCAACGGACTGTGTAACAGGTCGGCGGGAGTTTTGATGGAGTCGGTGGTCGATTGGAGCAGAGCGACGATGTTGGCCGTGTAAGAAGCGTACAAGTTGAGGGCAGCGATCAGCAGCATCAGAGTGACGATTCGGGAGGGAACGCGATACGGTTCGTAGGAGTATCCTGCGAAATTCATCGCGGACGATTCGATTCTACTCGACTCGATTCGAATTTTCTCGCTCACCCTGTTGCGCGATGGCTCCCAACACCACCATAAAGTTATCGCTGAGCGTTTGCTCGCTCTGATGGAACTGCTGCCAGTATTCGGCGCTGTTGGCCGACGCGCCTCGACGGTACTCCCACTTGGCCGAGACGGAGAGCAACGCGAGCACCAGCAGGAGAAACACGCCGATCGCTATCCAGACGGACCGTTGAAACGGCAGCGTGAAGATGTTGCTGACGGTGGACAGCAGAGGTTGACGAAAGATGAAGCACGCGCTGACGCAGATTCCAAGCGTTTCAGTTCCCTCGTCCGTCAGTTTTCTTATCTTTCTAGACTTGCCGAACTTACGTGGTGCGCGTGTAAAGTTGTATATAGTCCACTACCCCGATACGCTGTGGAATAAAGAACGTCCCGGTGCCTCCTATGTCGATCTCACGACGTTGCAACATCCCCGTCATGCCGTTCCACGTCCCGTTCTTGTCCCGGTATCCCCAGCTGTCCGTCACGCGGAACTCGATGCTAAACGAGGCGAGGAGAGAAGACCATGAACCGTGAAACGATTTAAATACAGACTCTGGCAGGTAATTTCGTCTTTTGCTCCAGCTCGTGCATCTTCGATGCATTCATTTCAGTAATTCTACGTTTTACTTGGGCTGGATGTGACAAAATTATTTACTCGATCCATAATCCGTTGGTGTGAAAAAAATGAAAGAGGATGATTTTGAGAATTGAAGGTAACTTTTAATTTTATAAATGAATATTATATTATATTTTGTCTTTTTTTACATTACATGAAAGAGAAGATGAAGACGAGTTCAACGATATACCATTCAATGACCTTCACACCTTACACAATATCCAGAACGAAATGGTTATTGCGGATGTGCCTGCCGTAGTGTTCCGTATTTATATACTATATCTGTACTGTACAAATGTACGCCACACTCTTGGTGGCTTTCACTGTTTGCACTTGTGATCCCGATACTGATACACTTTTTGTTTCAAATCATTTACACTGAAAGACTATCGTAAATGATTCGTGTGTTTGTAACATGGCAATTGCTATTGTGTCGAAACACTGCTCGCACTCGGAACCGACTGAGATTTATGATGGTAGATAATGATCTATACTTGAGGTATGCAAAAAAAAAATGTGTAAAAATTTCTAATCTCGAGCACGTCCGTGTCATAAATAATAGTTTTGTACGTTTTGTACAGTCTAAGTAGGTAATAATACAGGCCTCGTGATATCACAAGCATAAAAGTGTAAAATATGAAATATTATACGTCAGAGACAGTGCCATTACCGTTGGCCTTCGCAAATAGTTTTGTATGTTTTGCACGCTCTAATAGCAAGTAACGATACAAATCTCTACATGAAACACGGAAATATTTCTTCCCGATCCTCTGTAAGTATGAAGATAGTATGAAGTATTGAACGATACATCCGGTTGAATTCGCCCTCATGTAACGTAAACAACAAAATA